TTGTAGCATCGAGGACGTAACTTTAAAAGACATGGTATGAGATTGGTAGATTCCTGTACTCGCCTATGCCCAGCCCCTAATTTCTGGGCAGTATCAGAGGCATTACCGATGGTGCTAGCAGTATTGGAACATTTCTAATAGACACAGACATCATTTCAGTTCACAAAGACCAAATGATGTTGTTTTTAGCCTGTTTGACTGAATAGATGTGTCTGTGTGTGTGTGAGAGAGAGAGAGAGAGCGGAGTCAGGACTAGCGAATCAATGCGGCTCCATTCTGATATAAGATTTTACTCATTTGAAAAAAAAGTTGAACATCAATATGTGTGGATCGGTGTTGATGTTGCGTTGGTGGCCACAGATAAATCAATATATGGGAAACACTGAGAAGTGTAAAAATGCTTTTGACTCATTGTGAAACCGCAGCGGGTCAGAGGACGTCAGCTGAGTCTGTGGATGCAGTTATATTCACACAGCTGAAAGAATGTGGTCGCATGTCTCCAGAACACCTCTGAATGTTGTCTGAGTGATGGGATCTCAAATGTGTCTTCAATCATCTGCGGTCAGAGTTGTCCACCTGTGATCGGATCTGTTAAAATCAGGTCTGAACTGGGCCTGTGTGTGAGCATGTGTGTATGTGCAGAAGCATTTGCTGGAGATTTGAGGGGCTCGGGCAGACCCGGTGGTCCGAAAGGCACTTATTTGGGCGGCTCTTTATTCATCCAGAGAGAGCCTCTTTACTGGGCACAGCTCACAGGCGTGTGAGCCGTCGCTGACAGCACGGGCATCCGCACAGAGCGGGGTGAAGAAGGTAAACAAGGCTTTTAGAGGCCTCATTAGACAGAATCTCTAAACAGAGGAGGAAGCGTTTAATCATTTACTCCTGTTTAAAAAAAGGAAAAGATCCCGACCTCAGTCAAGATGCCTGAACAAAGACGCTGTCTTCTTTGTGTTATGGTGTTGTACTTTGATTTTTGTGGTGACGTTTGAAGAACAAAGTACACAGATTTTATGACAAATAGAATAACAATAATACCAGTGAGTCATTAGTGTAAAAGATTTGTGGTTGGAACACAAAAAGAACAACACTTAAGAAAATGCCTTACAATGCCTTAACAGTCAACTAATAGAGCAATTTGAAATGGTTGCAGTCCCATCCCTTTAATTTAAGAAGTTATTCACGACCAAATGCTCTCGGCAGATATTTCACCCCACAGACACAAAGGTGTTAAAATATAGACCACGAGAAGAAACAATGATAAACAAGAAAACAATTCTGCAGAACACAACAGCTTTAAAAAAAGACTATTTCATGGATTTGTCCAGGAACACTGCAAATCTGTGTGTGTGTGTGGGGGGGGACAAACCCTCTTTCTCACCCTGCCGCCCTCTCAGAAGTTGAAATACCTTCAACTTCTCCACGTGCACACGCGCGTTATTAGTATGCGCGTGTGTAGACAGACACGCTCTCTTACCCTGTGCAGGTGGGTGCAGTAAATATTAGCTTTTCAAATGAACATGGCCACCCTCAGATATTTTAAAATTCAAAATTGAGAGGCTGTGCTTTTTTTCCTTCCCTGGCAGGCGACTCCAGACCAGCAGCAGACGGCTCGGTTACATTCAACAAACATTAAGTAACCATCGACTTCAGTCTGTATCTTCTGCTGTGGCTCGTTTTGGACTTGAGGAAAAGGAGAAGTAGGCAAAGGGCTTTGAGTTCACCTTAACTGCAAAGAAACAGTTGCAGCAGATGCATATTAAACCTCTGAATTACTCCCTGGATTATGAAGCAACGCGTGTAACATGGCGATCTGCAGTATGTCAGCGGCTCAAACCTGAACGCTCTAGACAGACAGACAGACGTATGTTGCAAGATGGAGTGCACCGTGGGCCTCTCCCCGTCCTGCAGACAGATGGACAGAGCAGTGATCTTATGGTCAGCTTGCAGCCACAGCACACGCTCAAAATGAGACCTTGAAACTGTCGGGTGGCAGTGTCACTTTTTCCGAGAGATGTCTGCTGTAGGAAGCTCCCTCTGCATATTTCAGAATGACAGACAGGAGAGCGACCTTTGCATCGTGTGCGAGCCTCAGAGAGGGAAACAAAGAAAATAGAAGCGGACGGGGTGCACATTGTTAACATGAAAAATTTAAATTGCTTGGCTTATTATGAATTTTAAATAGTGAGCAAAGAATATGTATTGGCTTTGTGAGCATAGCAAAGTGTTTGCTGCAATTAACTTTATAAAGTTTCATGTTTGAAGGAATAAGTCAGGCCTGGGAGGATGACCTTCTAAAGAAACGTCTATGCAGTTGGAAGGTGGGAAAAAAAAAAAAAAAATAGGTGCAACTGGAAAAGAGACGGTGATATTCCTGTTTCCCCAAAAGGTAGAAATACTACATCACCCAGAATGCACTGGGCTCCCATGTTTAACCTGAGCTTCAAGTATCGAAGGGGTCCATACACTGCTCATATGAGTTGGAAGAAGTTCTGCAGTCATTGCACATTTAAAATTGAATTTGACAAGCGTCTTCATTTGAAATTTGTTGGTAAAACCCTGTTGATCCTGGTTACTTAAGAATTCTTAGAATTTAAAACATAAAACTATATCTTTTTCTTATTGCAGAAGATAACAAATCACATGTTGTGCAACTGTAGGTGATTGTCTTCAAAACACTTCTCACAATCTCATGCAGTATGAGCTGCCTTGAAATTTAGAGTTTTTGCAGTGCATGGATGTTGTCGTATGGAGACGGAGTTCTCCAGGAGTTTGCCTCACCTGCATGGCAGGTGACATATAAGAGCAACAGTACAGTGTCATGTGCTCCAAAGTTGCATCAAGGTTACCGTTGGCAAATCAATCCACAGCAACACAATAGAGACCTGGGCTTTCAGAATTCACAGGGCTGTTTGAGCGCACGTGGCTGAATGAAAGGAGCTTTTTAGTTTCCATATTGGGCAGCTCACAGATGCCAGCATCTGGGGCTGTTCTGAGGTTTGGAGTTGGCCTGAAACACTTTTCAGCCATTGGCCGTGTTTGGGTTACAGAAGGTTGTGTACTACATGTTGAAAAACGGTGATGCGTTTTAGTGGCACAGACACTTCTTTAAAATCGGTTTATCCTTGTTTGGATACTGGTCGCCAAAAGAGGTCTTTCATCGAGCCACTCATTAACCACCATCGGTAGCCACCGTGTGGACGGGGGCACCGTTTTAGATTTTTTGTTTTTCTGGGACTTTTGTGTCACTTGTTTTTTTCTGTAAGATGTCAAAGGATCAACCAGACCTCATTCATTTTTCTGTTAGTTTATTTATGAACGTTGTTCTAAACTGAGTCACAGGTACAGATTTAAAGAGGCAAAGTTGATTGATTGTGTCATGTTGCTGTTTTGTGATGGATTCTATGACTGCTTGAATAGATAGATAGATGAATGAGGAGAAGACAGAACAAGAGAGAAGGAGAGGAGTTGAAACACTCAATATTAAAATGAGGAGCAGAGGAGAGGAGTTAAAAGACTGGATGGATGAATGGACAGATGAATGAGGAGAAGAGAGGACAGGAGAGGAGTTGAAACACTCCTCAATATTTTAACAATACTGCTTGTAGAAAAGATGGATGAATGAGGAGAGGAGAAGGAGGGGCAAAATCGGAGTCATTCATTCATGTCCAGCTGCCGTCTTGCTCCTCTCTTCCTCTCCTCGCTGCTGACAGGAAATCCTGACCTGCATCCTTTCTCTCTCCGTAAGATGCAAAACCTCGGTGAAGAAATGTGTGCTAGTGTGTGAGCACATACGTAGAAAAAATCACTTTATGCGGAGAATCCACCTGAACGGTCACCTCTCATTATGTTTTACTTGTCCTCCTCCACATCATCGATAGACCAGCATCCCTCAGTCTCGTGCACTTTAATGCTTGTGACTGCTTCTGGCGGTGCGGCTTCCTCTCCGCCCAGCCTCACAGCTCTCTCGTTGCCTGAGCTGGACACTCTCACGTTATAGTTGTTAACAGCTTGTGGTCACCAGGCGGTTTGTGTGGCTTTGCAGTTTGAGCCGACGCTCTCGCTGAGAGGCAGAGAGAGGCTGTGTGAAAGCTCCGGATCCCAAAAGAGTCAGAGGGACACGATCCCAACTGTCTCTGTGTGTCTGTCTGAAACACTAAAATCAACCGATCAAATATTTATGATCCTAAAAAGTCAGGTTTTGAAGATCTTTGGTGTAAAAGAAAAAAGGATAAAAATCTGAATTGGAAACACTGATTATTTGTCAAGAAATAAATGAATACATCAATTAAAACAAATCTGGTGTATTGCTTTATATATTTTATTTGTTTTTCCTTCTTTGTTCTTTTATCTTGAAATCCACTTATCCCAAAAACAAAACACACCTTCTGATGATCAGACTGCCTCACTCAGGGTGTAGGCGGTGCGTCTCTACGGTCAACGACAGACATTTCTTATCTGTGTTTGTGGGCCATTTGTGTCACTTTTTCACGTTTCACACAGAGAAACAGTGAGAATAAGAATATGACTCGTTGGAGGGTGTTACTGAGAGTCTCGTGGAGACACTGTAGCTGCTGTGTAATAAATGTCCTCACCTACACTCCAAGATAGAAAATCTGTTTCTGCACGTCTGCAGTGAGCGGTGGGTGTAGAGAGTAGGATTACACCGACTGTGACATTAACATAGAATACAGCTTGTGTGTGTGTTTGTACTCGTTTTTGTTGCCTCTTCAGAAACTTTTCCAGGATAAGCACTGTTCTTGTCAGGACCAATAGACCTCATGGGGACCAAATCTGGTCCTAATGAGGCAAAACGTTATTTCTGAGCTCCTGGCTATGGGGATAAAGCTGCCTATAATGGAAGTTACTGCAATGTCCTAACAAAGATGGCTGCACAATAGTGTGTGTGTGTGTGTGTGTGTGTGTGTGTGTGTGTGTNGTGTGAGAGACTTTGTGGTTCAGGTCTGTTAAATCCACTCCGTCTGTGTGTTTTGTCTCTGCAGGAGTCGGAAGATCCAGATCCGGAACATTCCCCCTCATCTACAGTGGGAGGTCAGTTGTTTGTCTCTCTCTCTCTCTCTCTCTCTCTCTCTCTCTCTCTCTCTCTCTCTCTCTCTCTCTCTCTCTGTGTGTGTGTGTGTGTGTGTGTGTGTGTGTGTGTGTGATGCCCATTTGAACGGCACCCGGTAGCACACAAACCAGTTTCCTGACAATGACTCACCAGCCTTTATTCCTCTGTGGACTGATGTGTGTGTGTTTGCATGTGTTTATGTCTGTGCTTATATCTACATGTTTGTTACTGTGTATCAACACAACTTTGCCAGGTTTCAAGCTGTTTTTCGGCCCGACTCTCTTTGTCTGATTCCTCTGAAGTTGCTGTAAGTTATCTTAATGCTGCACTTCCTCAACAAAACTTCAGAAACCAGAAGTATCCACCACAGGACAAATAAGACTGTTTGTTTCACACATGATGCAGAGTTGACAGGATTTTCTCGTTAATGCAACCTGCAAACCTGAGGTTCAAACCAAATCACAGAAAACGCGATCATGCTGACACTTGTCTACGTTAATCCCCTGACCCCACTGACAATCCTTTATATTTGTCGTCTGCTAGGAGCCATTGTTTTCTAGAACAAATCACTCATGCAGCTGAACTTACTACATTTATTCAAGTACAACTATTAAGAGCATGTACTTTTTTTATATTTCCATTTGTCTCCAATGTTAAACTTGTCATATTGTAGTTTTTATTTCACATTTATGTGACAACATTATATCGTCTTCTGAAGTATGATGCATTATACGGATTAATTTATAGTGTCAATTGGTTGTGAGGAAACAAAGACATCTACTGTGGAAGTTACACAGTATCACAAGCTGTAAAATAACTTCAAAACCCCTTTTTGGAGGCAAAGCAATTTACAGTTTCCACCCTACAGTTTTAATGCCCATAGTAAAAATGAGCACAAAAACATGGAGGATGGAAACACACTGACAGGGATCTTCAGTCAAGCAGGTAATTTTTAACCTGAAGTGTCTTCTGCTTATGAGAAAAATGTTTTGTATAAAAGCACCAAAGCAAAATTATTCCACTTTATAAAAATCTCTAAGCATATAAAGTAAACTGCACAATATACTGTTATGTGCAGGGCTGGATCTCTGATCATTTGCTGTAAAGGTTAATGGGATTTTGAATGAGGTTCTGCTGCTCCGATTTGTCTGTGTGTTTGTTTGTGCGTCAGTGTGCTTGTGTGTTTTTGCATCAGTGGTTGTCATACTAACTCGTGCTGTGGTCTCCCCCTCAGGTTTTGGACGGCCTTCTTGCTCAGTATGGTACTGTAGAAAACGTGGAACAAGGTACAGAACCCTGTTTACTGCTCATCTCATCATCATCTGACAAACACACACACACACACACACACACACACACACACAC